AACAAAGTTTTCTGAAGAATACGTTCTAAGCAGTTATAAACTTCATATCATGCTTTTATTTGTATTATCGACGAAAAAAAAACGGCTTGTTCTCGATATGGGAATTGAATATATTTTAGTGTATGAAATGATCACCATATATTATGAAGCTTTACAGAATCGATAAAGGTTTTTTAATACTTCGATTGCTTTTGAATTTGTTAAGAAATAAAAAAATATAAAATATTCGTGTCTCTATACATAAAAAAAATTTTTAATTCAAATGATTGATATTCATATCGAATTGATGTTTGTAGAAATTCTTTTCTAATAATACTGAACAAGATAGTTGAATTAAAAATCGATGGAAAATTCATCAATCATGGAAAATATTGGAAAAAATCTATTCAAATAAATTTTTTTACCAAAGAGCAAACAGAATAGTATAATATTAATTGCAGTTAGTTGAGAGAACTTTTAATAAATTAGAGCTAACTTTGCATACAAAATGAAAATTGATTGAATATTTCAACAAAATGCTTTGTGAATTATTTGGATGACTATATACATTAAAATATTTAATTGCTATTAATGTCTTTGTTTGAAAGACATTATTCCATAAAGAGTATAGATTAAAAAAAAGCTCTAGAGAATGAAGCTACATAATCAAAAGAAAAATTCGACGAATTGAAATTACGAAATGTTTGATAATAAGCAAAAAAATGAATTAATTTTTGTTTTGATTCTAGCTGCCTTATTATCAGGTGCTCGGAATGATAAAAATAGTAAATTAGCACAGGATATTGTTGATCGTATGCACAAGCTTTTTCCTGATTTCAAAAACTCATTAGTTTCAGCTTCGATTCTTTTGGCTAATGTTTATGCATCATCTGGTGCCATGGAAAAGACAACAGATATTAAGATTCAATTACATACATCAGGTGCAAAAAAGAAAGTGGGCTTATCACTTACTGAAGTTGATGGAAAAATTTTGGTAAGTTTCTAAGAAGTCTTCAAATCAAAATATTTCATATAATATGATCTATTTTCATAGAAATTTCGAGCTCATGATCGATCATATCCACAATCTGATGAACTCTATGCAGAAGTTGATCGAATATCAAAAGAACTTATTGAATACGGACACAAATATGATGCAAGCTGGATTATAAGACCGATAGAATCTGATGAAACAATTGAATCAGTTCTTTGTGGACATAGTGAACGACTAGCTATCGCTGCTAATTTTATGTTTAATAGAAAACCCAAGCGCATTCAAATTACGAAAAATCTTCGTGTTTGTGGTGACTGTCGTAAGTGTTCAATCGATCTTTGTTTTCTGCTTGACTTTTTTCTTTTTTTTTTCTAGATCGAGCAACAAAATTAATTGCTTTGATTCGTCAATGTAAAATAGTTGTTCGTGACGCAAACCGCATACATCATTTTCATCCAAATGGTCAATGCTCATGTCAAGACCATTTTTAAAAAAAAAAACTTGTTTATAGTTTTAATAGAAAAAAGAGAAAACCATATCTAATTTTTGTAATTTAATTGTTACGAAGGATAGAAAGGAGTATATTTAAAATGTATACAATACTCATTTTTATCTCTTTTACTTTTGATGATGGAATATCATTTAGACAAAAAAGTAATATTCTCCGCTTGGAACTCGTACCCATGATATGACTATGAATTGACCGGCACAATGCTCTAACCCTAACCTATTCAGCTGTTGAAGCACAACAATTTATAATTTAATATGTATACGATTGTAAGCTATAGAAAATAACAAGAATATTACTTGAAGAAAATTTGTGATAAACAACGATATGAACAGGAATATCTACGCTAGATAAATGCATTCGGTAAGTTCTCGTTTGGTCGAAACACTCATTGATTTTCTCGTTTCGTGGAGAATAAATTTTTTCATCCGTTCTCGTTTCGTCGAAAATGAAAAACGACTGTTCTCGTTTCGTCGAAAATGAAAAACGACTGTTCTCGTTTCGTCGAAAAGATAAATTTTAACTAATCAATGAAGAATAGATTATATCGTTTGATAAGATTTCTTCGTCATATCAATCAGGAATAGTGCCTATTTACTTGTAGATACATTTGTCAAAAAAATTTTATTATAGAGTAGATTTGGATACATCAATAAGAAATTATTAAGAGAAAATATGAACATAGAAAAGAAAAACATCAATACTTTTTTATTCTGATTAATCGCATAACTTTTTCATGATATTCATCTAATGTTAATGTTTGTTGTTTGTAACGTTCTTCTAAATTATGTAATCGTGCATACCGATTTACAAACAACTTTTTTTGTGGAGGTAATATACTAGCTGCTAAAGGACGTGATGCTATTGCTGAGTTATAAGCATAATCATTTTGAATTGCACGAATGAATATAGCAAAAAAAAACGAATTGTCCCTTTTACTCCACATGTGTATACTTTTACAGAATTTCAGATTAATACTATAGGGATATCAATTAGTTTCTTTATAAGAAAATAGTTCAATTCAATCATAGACATTAAGCTTTTCGTTTTGATTATGCTCTTATTATTACAATTTAATTTTTCGACGAAACGAGAACAGTCGTTTTTTCATTTTCGACGAAACGGGAATGATGAAAAAAGAGTGTATCAAATTTTTCGACGAAACAGGAAAATCAATTAGTATTTCGACGAAACGAGAATCTACCATTATGTTCCAGAAGATGTTGCTACTGATATTCTAATTAAATGTTAATGCAAAACAAATAAGTTTATTTTTAAAATCATTCATCTTAACAAATTGAATATAGAATAAAAGGAATTTGTTTTGCTTGGAGAAGACATGCTCCAACCTGAAGGTTTTTTTACAGCCATTATTAGTAGCGAATTAATTTGAATAAGAAACTCAGTAACATCTTTGATCCAGAGATGTCCATCGAAGCAGCGGTGCGGTGGGGGTAGATTTTTCTGGGTAGCAATACAAAAATGCATAAATTCGAGCCTCTAACTCAATGTTCGAAAGTGCAATGCTCTGAGACTCGACGAATCTTGTCGATTAGTAAGAATAGTTTTACTCGAAAACACTCACAGCTGTGAAACACTTAAAACATTTATCTAACAATCCTCGTGGTAGCGGCATGTTAGCTTTTTTTGTTTTATCATCGCGGTGCGATAGCGGTGATCTTTCAGCCGCGATAGATATCTCAGATTTAACTTCGTCAAACTCGATATGAATGACATGCATATGAAAGGAGATCGTTGATCGGCCCTGAATAAAAGATCACTATATCTTCTAGAATGCATTATCGATTTCCGTTGATTTACAAAATTTCCATCAACAATTTACTTATAAAAATCACACTGAATAATTATCGTTCTGAATTAACTTATTAGTCTGAGATGCGACTTATATTGTTACTGAAGCTATTGTTAGAAATCAATCAGAATTTTCTGGTTTGAAATGTATTTTAATACAGAAAGAAAATTTTCCATGAGTCAATGATTATTTGTTGCCAATCGTAGAATTATTTGCTCTTTGTAATTATTCACCTGGTTGTTTGACAATAACTATTTATTGTTATTGTTTCTGCTAGTGTTTCAATAAATATTCATAAAAATTACTGATTGAAAAAAAGGAGTACTTTTTAGAATATCGAATGTAATTCAAAGAACCCATCGTTTACTTCGTGCTGTAAAATTCACTTACGATTCTTTTCTTAAATATTGAATAACATCACTTGAACTGAAGAAAAGCTATAGACTAAAGCAAACATCACAGCAATAATAATGAGCGATCTAAATACTTCAAAAATTATCCCATATCTGCCTAGAGTCCTGCGAGAACGGAAAAGATATAAAAAATATGCACACCCGAAAACCCCATTGCATTCACTGTATACGATCTAAGGCATGTTCGTGTAACTAACTTTTATTTTAAATGATTATTTCGTATATAATTAACAAAAAAAGCAAATATCTATCAACAAATTTATATGAATACAATCTGTCCCCATTAAATCACACATTATAGCAATGATCATCTTCTTTATCATTATCATCGAAAGTACGATCATCAAGATTATTTTAAAAAGCATTATTATTACCATCTTTTTCTTTCGAAATTTTGATTTTTCTCATTGGTGTTGTATAAGTAGAACTATTTATTCTTTTTCTTTATCACTCAATTGATAGTAAAACTAATTGTATTAGTGTTGTTAAATTTAAACGCCTAAATGATAACTGATTTACTTTACTTCTGTGCAAACGTGTATAACGACTTCTTACTCTATCGCTATTGTTCGAAAAAGGATGACCTAAGGATAGATTAATGACTAGAAAACACATCACTGATTGAGTTGTTTTAGTCATTATAGAGTAAACTATGTATTAATGCTTCAAGGTTGTGGGTGTGGGTGTAGACAAGAACGGTTGCTATCACCCACACCCATACCCGACCCAAAAAATACAAAGTTTCTACTCAAAATATAGCAAAAAAAAGATAAGGTTGGCTGACAATCGGTTGTTGTTTAAAAACAACTATTGCTTTTAAGAGTTTTTACCCATTATGTACTTTGTTTTGGTATCATGAAGCTAAAGAATACATATGACTTTTGTACTTAGGTCAGCTTCAAAGGAGAGGCACTAACAAGTCTTTTTGTTAAAAAGACTTCGATAGCAATGATTAATGTTTTGGGTGTAAATCGTTCGAACTCAAGAAGAGGTATTAACGTAATGTTCCCTAGAGACTTTTGGAATATCCTGTATATCTCATAGAACTAACGAATATCTTATTTATGTAACATTTCTCTCACTATGTTAAAAACTATCAAAACAAAAGTTTACTATCGAATAATATGTATTTGGCGCGTCTCATTCATTCTTATCTTTCATAGTCATCAGTAATACCTGTCTGTTAAAACTATTCGGTTTGTCTACGTTATATTATACGAATATGAATATATTTATAGAAAAAATTATTCTTTCTTTACTCATCTTTCAATTTCCGGTTATAAGAGGTAAATTAATCAAGAATGTAATCAAATTTATTTCATTATTTATTAAAATTCACATTAGCAACTAGATATGGTGCATTTTGTAATAGTGATAGTGATTGTGATAGACATCAAAAATGTTCAAGTAAACTTTGTCTTTGTAATCCAGATGAAAGACGCTTTTGGACAGGTTTAATTAATTAAAAATAAATATTGCTTTTAAAATATATCCTATAGGAACAACGTGTGCTATATGTGCGAGAGAATATACTGTAACAAGTAAACATAATTTTTGAATAAAATTTATAGTATACATTTTTTTGTAAGTATGAATAGGAGATAGATGTTATAAATATTTTAATGAATTAAAAACATGGGAAGCATCTGGAGTTCATTGTCGTGCTCAATATGCTGATTTGTTTACTTGGCGTGATAATCATGACGAACAATTTATTCGACCTGTTATATTAAGTTGGATATCTACGCCTCTTTTTATACACATATCGTCTACGATACTCAAACCAAAACCAAATTAACTATATCTTGCATGGGCTAGTGCTAAGATAACTTCATTAAAACGTAAGTTATTGGACGTTTTTTGTTTGTTTTTGTATGTTGTAATGATAAATGAAGATTAAGAGAAATTCATTTATAGCACATAGTATTCAATGGATGGATCCTGATGGAATGAAAATAGACTTGACGAGTACAGAATGGTGTGATCCAACATATCATGCAGGTTATTCATTACAAAAAGAACCAACATCAGGAACTAGAGAAGGTATAACAATAAAACATAGCTTGTATTTGAGATAGAGCCTGTTGAGATCAAAAGAAACCTAGATGGTTTGTTCCCTATACATCGCCCATTCAGATTGATGGTGGTCGTAGTAAGCGACAAAAAAAATCTAGGTTTTTTTGTGGAATTTATAATGTTTACCATAAATTCATTCTCTTATCTTTTTTAAAGGTCCGAATGGTACTGAACGTGAAGAATGTATTACATACAATTTTCGTCCTAAAGGTACAAGTTTTCTCTACTTATCAGATGATTACTGTAGTCAAAAATATCCATTTATATACGAAATGAATGCTGCTACTATGAAATTAGCTACTTCTACGCATCATGATATGTAAAAAAACACAAATAAAAAAGATTTCGAACAGATTTGAGAATCGTGATTAAAATTTGTATATGACTTCTTTCTATGTAGATACTAATAATGGTGGCATTTCATCCGGAACAGATGAAGATACTCTGGCCTCGTAGCAGCCTTGTGAAAAAATATAGGAATATATAGAATTTAGAGGCCAAAAATATATAGGATCGCCCTGCACTATATAGGAAATACATAGGACGTTAAGTTTCCCCTCCAGAACTTTTTTGGCGCCTAGAAAGATTGTAGCAATATCGTAGATTGTAATGAGATGAATATTCTCCACTTGTCCGATAAGCTAAATAAAAAAAGTATCACCAAGTAACGAAAAGCAATGACACAGAAATCTTTGTCAACAATAAAAATAATAATTTCGGTTCGAGTTATTTTTAACCATGTCACGCATAAATACAACAAAAGTGTAAAAAAATAAATTCAAGCTTTCGACATCCTCATATTTGATCTAAGGGGGGTGGGGGGGGGGGGGGGAGCTTTCCAAAGACTCCCCTATCCACCTTCAGCATTCAAAAACTTCTGCCCACAACAATCTTCGATTTTTCAAAAAATATAGGAATATAGGAAAAATGATCAAAATATAGTCCATATAGGACTAGTTTCAAAAAATATAGGAAATATAGTCCTACTGCGTGGCCAGAAGGTACTTCATCTGGAACAGAGGGTGATACGATCGATTTTGAAGAACCACCACCTCCTCCATCAGAAGACCCTGACTTTACTCCACAACATCTTGGTTTAGAAGCAACAACTGTGTATTATAAATCGTGATTCTTTTTTCTGTAAAAATATAGTTCTATTTCTACTTTCAGCTTAAAGAAGAAACAGGTTTTCTAACAATGACAAATATAATTATAATTGCTGTTGTAGGAATAATTCTTATTGTTGGAGTCATTGCTGGATATGTAGTTATAAAAAATAAAAAAAGAAGTATACATAATCCTACTCGTGGAAATGTAGGTGTATCTCAAGGTAGGCCAAGTTTTGCTAGTTCAATTGGAAGCATGGTGGATGAATAGAAGATAAACAAACAAGATTTATCATTATCACAAAAAATATTCAGATGATTTCATTACTATTATTATTATTATATTTTCTTCTTCTGAAAATTTTCTTTTACTGGACATATCAACAATTCCACACTGAGCATTCAGAAGGGAAAATCGAAAAATACAATTCTTACCTTGACGTCCTTTATGAATGATTCCTTTTCACCTCATTCCAGAAAAATACGTTCACATTGATTTTTGAAGATATTCCACGTTATCGTACCAAATTATTTTGTTGTAGATAATCTCAATGTTGACATATAAATTAATATTCATGATTTTCTATGAGAGGAACACCCTCTATACGATAAACATAATGATGACAATAAATTTTCTAATTAGACAGTGAAACACTTTCTCAATGAAAAGGAACATCAGCTTGAATATATAGCATATATATGGAGGAGCATCCGTTGAATCAATGCTAAAGCACTATTTCTTTTCAAAATACGTTTTTTTTCTGGCCGACGAGTCATGTTAGTTGATCTTTCTTTCGCAAGAAACAGTACGTTGTCTTTCATTCACATTTTTTTTTCATGTTCTCTTTCCTATCGCTGATACTACTCAAATATAGACTACTCTTGTTGTTTCGGTCATGTGTTTGAAAATTAACCACTCTTGCTCATTATTGTCTCGAACGATAATCTATAGAAGAGATGTTTGATATAATTTATAAAGAATTTCTAACTGATTTTATTGAATAATAAACAATGTAAGTCTACATATTGAATATAAAAAATAATGTTTATCGATTACAAACAAATTATTCAAGTCGATTTTGTTTAATTTTTTCAGTTTCTTCATTAGTATTTTCAAATTCATCGACTTTTCTTCTTGCATTTCATGAATTTATCTTCATTTTCAGTGGTTATGTCATTATTAACGTCAGTCTAAATATATTTCAATGATATAAAAAATAATTTGAAAAAACAAAATCAAATTGAAATTACACCTGAACTGTTGTTTTATTCGATGATGAAAGATGAGATTCATTAATCGATGGTTTCCATTTACTTAATTCATCGTTTGATGATGGCTCATCTGAAGGATTTGCGAAATGGATTATTAAATGGAACATTTGTTGTTTCGACTTTTGATCGAGTTTGTTTTATTTCTTCAAATGATGATGAGAATAATATTGTTAATGATGATGTTATAGAGGAACTATTTGATGATAATTTCTTTCTTTCATATTTTTCTTTTTCTTCTTCTTTGTTTTATTCAATTGAATCATTAATTATTTTTTGAGATAATGTTAATTTTCCTGATTTAGTCACATATTTAAGTGCTAATTGACGTGATATTGAATCCATTAATTGACAAATTTCAAATGCACAATCTTCTCGTTTCGATTTACATGATAAATGCGAAAACCTCGGATTTAAATCCGAGATATGTGTACTTCAAAAAGTGAATGAGACAGATGAGTCATCCTAGAATGTGTGGACATCAAAATTATTTACCCTAGGAAAGTCGTTTTTCCTATAACTTGATTTCTATTGGTTACTGTTCAACCAATAGGATTTCGTGGCAAATGGAGCTCAGATTCGAGTTCTCCATCCCAAAAAACCTCAAACTATCACCTCTGTGATCGAAAGACTGCTCTAATTATGGACCAGTTAGAGCGTAGACACAAACAGAACTAATGCCTGCTTGATTATCTTTGCAATAGATAAGTTAGCCTTCTTGTTTCTTTATGTTTTATATACAATTTTGTAGCTCGTGAAATACTCTATCGAATGGTATATAATAGTTGAAGTTTTATTTGATTATAATACTAAGAGTTTTTTTACGAAAGTGAGGACAGGTCGATTTTCCTATAGGAAGCCATAGGGAAAAATGACTATTTTTGCAATAACTCAGCAATGGCTCGGCCAATCATGCTCATCTTCGAACTCGACCGAGATATTGTTAAGACCGAACTGTGTAGAAAATTTCAGCGCAATCGGACGCTCCTTTCAAAAGTTATCGTGTAAACGGACGGCCGGATACACTGACCGATTCTAGAGTGTACTCACTTTTTGAGTACACAAAAAACAGCATATACTCGAATCACTGTCTAATCCTTGTTAAATAGACTTTAAGTCGATTGGATATATTATCTCTAACGACGTCGAGTTCCCAAGTGTAACGGCCTTATTCGATCTGACATTTTACTCATCAATTGAATCAATAAGACTAGTACAAGTCTAAAATGAGTTTCGTCTCATGACATATTCATCTAAGATTATGATTTCTGTGCTAAGCCTGGCGTTTACAAAGACTCCCTTACGAGTTATTAATCTCAAATTTCGTCCATACACAGAGTTTGAGATCATTAGACGGTCTTAAAAATTTCAACTGAATCGAATGTTCATATAATAGTTCAAATTCATCAGAAGATTTTCTGAATCGATTATTTATAAGCATTGAACGTCTTGAATGGAAAAGTTTCGTTTGAGTTCAACTTTTCAATCACTTCTAGATCTGTTGATGAACAAAACTTTAAGTGGAAAATTTATAAAAGTAATCTTTTATAAAATCCCATGTTATCCAAATGAAGAAAACACAATGAAGTGGTCATAACTCTAGGTTGATAGGTTATGACTACGAATCTTTTCAAGCTTACACTAATTTATGGAGCCCTATTAATAAGAAAGATATCAACTCGATTAATATATTACATTTATAAATGTTAAATTTTCAGAAACAAGATGATTCAATTAGATATGGGCAAGATAATCTTTGCCTCGGTCAAAAACTACTAATTAGGCTCATCGTCTAAATTCAACACATTTTTCGTGAAAACTAAATTTCAGGAAAATACGATATAAATACGAAAATCTATTAGCTTTTCAAGCGAACAGGTTGTAATATATGAAATGTTTTTCTAAGCTTTAAAGATCCTAGTTGAATTCTCAAAATCTATTCAGTTGATAATATAACATTTCAAAATATAATAAATCATTAAAAAAAAATTTATAAACTTTAAGCCAAAAACAAAAGCTTCTAAGTTTAAAACAAACTTTCTACATATCGTATATCTTCATAAAATAAATCAAGTTATTTTACTGTTCAAACATGCTTTTTTTTTAGCAAATATGAAAAGATAATTATTTATATTAAATTAATAGAAATGCAAAGGAGAAAAAAAGGGTCAAAATTGATTCGGATAAAATCGAAGTCCTTCGATCGAATCATCACGACAAAGTAAACCATGTGTTTCAGCAGCGATTAATCTATAAGAAAAGAAAAACAAATAACAATAATTCGAAATTAATCTTTTGGAATTTTGTTTAAAATATAATGTAATACCTTTCTCGAGCAACAATCACAGGAATACCAATAAGATTAGCCAATTGATCCGCACTCATTGATATCGATGATTCAACCTTTTATTATTTTTAAAGAAATAAAATTCTATTCAAATAATGTAAACACTTACAAAATTAGCAATGTCTTGCAAATCTTTCTTTTCATTTCGATTTGTTAATTCAAAACTTTTTGTACCCGAACTTAATACACGTAATCTAAAATCAAATGTAAAGTATTGTTTTTTCTAACAATGAATAAATTAACAAAAATGTTCTCTAACCTAACAGGTAGATTTAATTGTTCCATATGTACAGCTGCATTAAGTAAATCTTCTGGTGAAATTAACTAGACCAAAAAATAATAAAGAAATTTTTATTTTTAATATTTTATTAAGCTATAATAAACATCATACCTCATAACCACGAGCACGATTTATTCGACAATATGCATCACTTAACGTCATTATGCCATTCGTATCCTGAGAAAAAGTTTATCATTTTGTAAGTTTCCATAGAATTTTATTTTCTTACTTTTAATGCTTTTTCTAAGACTGATGCTAATTCTTTAGCTAGTGATACATGATATTGACTACCAGCTGATTCTTTTGTTACTGGATTATCAATACCAAGACTGAGTAAATAAGATCGAAAACGAATCGTCTAAATAATAAACTTGATTGATACAAAAAAACAACAACAAATGAAATAATCATTGAACATTATTCTTACTTCATCGCTGGTTAGATCACTACGTTTTTCTTGAATTTTGCTTGCAATTGTTTTTGATATATTAACCATATCTTTGGCCTTAACAAAAAAAAAGTTTTTTTTTTGACTAAAAGACTATATAATCATCATACTAACTTGTTGCATAAGTTGATTTAAATCTTGAAAAGCACTACTAATCGATTGATGCTGAACATTTAATTGATGTTGTAAATGATTTTCAATACCCGAAATACCTGTACGATGTGAACGATCACTCTTAAACAAATTTGAAAAAAAAAATCGTTTGTTTTTTCGCGAAACTTTTTATATAAATTTTTAACAGACTGTTGTTGGATTCATTCCTGTTGTATTTGGTTTAACTGGTTGTAATAACCAACGTTTTTTAACTAATTCTTCTTGAACTAAACGTAAAAACTTGACAAAAAAAGAATAATTTATTTTTATGAAAATAAAATAGTTGTTTTATAATTACGTCATTGCAACCACCTTCACGAAATTCAAATTGTATTTCATCATGACGACTACTTGCAAATGGTCCTGGACGTTTCGGTTCCTGACCTCTTGATACAGTGCAAACAAGACGAGCTCTAATAAAAAAATCAGATCATAAATAATTATTTTTATAGATAACTCATTGATTTTGCGGATGCATCAATTTCGAGAATATGCTGTCAAAGATGACATTTTTTTTCTTATAAGGAATGTAGCTCCCTATCAATCATTTATATCGGCCATGATCAGTTTTTCTTGATCTATCTGAAGCTGTGATCGGTCGAAAATACTAAAAAATGAGGATTTTTGCCTATGTCCAACTGATTTTGAGATATGTTTCTCATCAGGCAAAATCTTCGGAAAGAGCATTAAAAACTAATCATAACTGATACCCTACTTTCAAAACAACATGTTCAATATTGAGAATTACCAGAGTCCCAGTGACTGTTCATACGAGTCGTAACAAATTTGGAACGCTTTTTCTAAAGCTTTTACCTCATGAAAAACACTGATCTCAGAATTAATTGGAATCGGTCGAAAAAAATTGAACATTACGAATTTCGATAAATTCTGAAATCTTTGTTTTGTATTTTATGAATTCTGACTACCGGTACAAATAAAGTAAAAAAAAAACTAATTATGACTGATATAAACAATCTCCCAGAAACGACATTCTTAATAAGGAAAATATGTCATGTTTGACATCATGTTCCAGGAATTCATGCATATCTAATGGAATTATTCGATTCATTGAGTACCATAATATGACTATGATAGTTAAGAACTTATAAAGTTATATCATCACTTGTCATTACTGAATATTGATTATCAAACAAGTTTAGATGTATTTTTTTAAACGATTCTTGAGGCAGAAGTGTTTCATTTGTTTTGCCATAAAAGGCTGCTAATTTCTAGCTCGAGACAGCTGTTAACTTTTTCTTTTTAACAAAATATAGTCATGATTCGCGTCGATCTATGATACTTATTTGAAGTGTTAGCTTTTAATGATTCCTGAAATAGAGCTATCCAAAAAATTCATTATGTAGTTGAAGGATATTGTTTTCACTAAAAACTTGTATTAGAGATTCGAAAATATTTTGAAATTATTGAGATAAAGTATGAAAGTTTATTAGTAGTACATAGTTCGAAACGTTTGATTGAAAATGAACACTCACTCTATTGAAACATACATAGAGAGACAAGCGAATGGCTTATGCTACCATATCTTTTGTAGTTAATGTTTATCGTAAACATGTAAAATGATAATAATAAAAACTTAAGGAAATAATGTTCATAGAAAAAAGCATAGTCAAAAAGAGCTCACGCTAACCCAGACGCAACTTCATTTCCTCTTTTTCACATTTTTTTACTTCCCGTACATTTATTAACAAAATTAATAATATATTTGATATTAGCATACATAATTGCATCATTGACTTTCAATATCCTTTTGTGTTCGCACTATTAAGAAACTTCAAAAACAAAAACATACTTTATAAAGTATGTTCGTATTCAAGAGGTTAACGTATTTAATGAAAGTTCTTTTTCTTTTCTGAACTATCGATAAATAAGAATGTTGCAAATAATCTAGTACTCATATTAATAGACAACATTTATTACTAACGAATTAGAATACATTCTTATAGGAAAAAAAGAATACCTTTTATGATAATTTATTCTCTCGTTCAATGAACAAGACGTTTTTAGATAGTACTTCATTTACACTAATACTCAAAAATGATGAGTACTTCTTTCGAAAAAAATGTTTGAAGAAAACTAATCACTATTGGAAATTAAAATGAAATGAAATCATAATCTTAGTTCAATATTTCAGTTACAAGTTTTGAAACAGAATCAAAACTATTTCCTTAATATTGGAATCGAACAAGAAAATTTTTTTGCCTCAAAATTCAAACGTGACCTAAATTAACTTTTGACATGTAGTAAATTATCTTCTGATATTTTCTTATTTCTATTGTAAGAGCGAACTTGTGTCAATATATTTACTTGTAGTTAAAACACTTAACTTAGATAATCACCAGCTTCTAGAATATGTTTTTCGATATATATCATATCATTCAGGAGAAGGAACTAGACTGTAAGCAATTATCTAACTGAAGTTAAGAATGAAAACGACTCTTAGAGTAGGCGACTAACTAATGATGAGAACTAGACTTCGACGGTTCCTAAACTTACTTGGAACCGAAACCTTCATATTATCAAATAGATACAATAATTTTAAATCCATTTCGAGAAATTTTCACTACTGAATTGTCGAGATTAAAGGTGTCATGTATTTTGATACTTAAACAACACAATATTATAAATGTATACTGAAATCTTCAACTTCAAAAATGAAAACTTTTCAACATAGCTTTAAGAATTTTTGTATCTTACTAATTATTTAGTGGTTTCATTTAGGTTCTCAATACCAGTTTTTTTTTGAAACATCGAATTCTAGTGAAGATTGACTCTGTATAATTATAATCCTCTTTTGGTACAGTTTAAATGAATCCTAATAGGAATTCGAATAGTTTTAATCAAATCTTACTTTGAAATTAATGATGCATCTTTTTTCTCACTAAATATGACAATAGATAGTGGTAATTCTACCTAAAAATAAACTTTATTGACAATTATTAATACAAGTAAAACCATACACCTGTGCTGATTTATCTTTCCACAAAATTCGATGACTAGTTAATGTTATTAAACCTTTTTGATAATCCGTCTGTAAATATGAATAAATAAAAATTTAAATTTTTTTCGAAAATCTCTTCTCTCACTTTTTCTGATCCATCATTAATTGAAACGTCATTTTGTGATGTTATTATAACTTCACCAACATGTAACTGTCCATCTGTCCATGCAAGACGATCAGCCATTTATTTTATATATGTATATATGTATATAATACAAATCTTCAAATAATATCAAAAAATCTGACTTTATATTTATTCTCCAAACACATATCTAATCATTTTAATACAAAAAAAAATATATTTTTTTCTACATCGACACACACACGTATCTGACAGCGCTCAAAAAAAATAATAATAATAAAGAATTCTATACAAATCAAAATAAATTCTCTTTTTTAAACAATTGTAATTGTTGTACGTTGTTGATTAACATGCCACAAACCCATTTCTTCATAACGTTCAAGTGCATTATCAAATGTATCTGGTTTAAGACCTTTAGCAATACATCGTTCTTTAGCTTCACCATAACGAACAATTTTCGAGCCTGACAATGGTACCATATCACGTACAATAGCAAATACTTGATCAATAGGATTGATTTGTCTAGAAAACAAAAACAAAGACCTTAGTGTTTATTGACAAAACAATAAAAAATTGTTCTATTTACCTTGTTGGTACATTTTCATGATCTTTCAAAAGTAATCTTGATGATTCCATTAAACGAAGTGCTTCATCAATATCATCTTTCGATACAAGATCATCACAACGAAGACGAGCAAGTGCAGTTGATAAACGTAATATTGATAAAAGCATACGAGCCGATGTATATGTCATATCTTTGCTTACACGTGCTTGTTTACGTAACTCAACATAAGCTGTTACAACATAATCAAGTAATGTTTCAGGTACTAATGGTTGTTTCTTTTTACATGTTGCTATATATCGTCTAAAATAGGAAAAACGAATCAATAACAAATAAATAAATAAACAAAATAAATGGTCTATATTTTACCGTAATGTTTTCATATTAATAAAATGTTGATGATTTTCAATATCTGGTTGACATCCTGTTTGATGTACAGATGCAATATGACGAGCTAATTTTAAATCAATTTCACGATCATTTTTATCTTGTATTATCCAAAGTAAATCAAAACGTGATAAAAGTGCAGCTGGTAATTGAATATTTGCTTCAATTGAACGTTTTGGATTATATCGACCATAGGCTGGATTAGCAGCAGCTAGTATTGATGTACGAGCATTCAGAGATGTTAATATACCAGCCTAAAAATTCAATCCTATTCAAATATTCGTAAAATCATGTGTTAGTAATGTTACGCCTCAAAATAAAAAGGTGCGTACTTCAAGATAATCAACATTCGTAGAACTAATTTTTATATGTTACATCAATGTTAAGTTACTCTAGATATCGTGAAAAAGAATCAGCGCAAGACATCTTTATTTAGAAAAGTTATCAATAAATAATTAGCCTTAGTAACATGGCAACGTACAAATATATAAATGAAAAAAATACTCTTATAACCGAATGAGAAGATTAAAATAAATATTAAATGGTAGAAGTTCTTCTTCAGTCTCTAATAAACTAGGTTTTTAAGAGAAATGTTTCTTAAACTTTAATCTTGCTAAAAATTTTATCATAGATGTTGTTCATACCATACAATCCATTCTCAAGCTTTCAGACTTTTTTTCTATCATCGGATTAGATAGATACTTGCTTATTTCTTTTTAATCAATCGGCAGCTGAAAGAGCTAACATATTTACTCATGTCTACGCTAAAAGAACTTCTTCAAAAAAATAGCCTTTTTAAAGAATTAAATTAAAATAAAAGGTGGATATGTTCCATTTTGCCTAAAAAAAGCCTATATACAAGTCTATTTCTTCATAAATTTTACTTTAGCAATTGAAATTGTTTGTTGTTCCATAACTTCATATATTGCTGTTCGATCGTGTTCAGTCATTTTATCAAATTCATCAATACAACAAACACCTTGATCAGCTAATACTAATGCACCACCTTCGAGTATAAATTCATCTGAAAGAAAATCATATCAAGATATAGATTTTGGATTTTGTCAAATTATTTTCTATTACCTGTAATAGGATCTTTAACAAGTGCTGATGTTAAACCAACACCTGATGAACCACGTCCAGTTGTATATTGACTACGTTGTGCTAAACGATTAACATAACTTAATAATTGAGATTTGGCTACACCAGGATCACCCATAAGACAAACATTTATATTTCCTAAAAGAGTAGAAGAAAAAAAACAAACGTTTTCATGAAATCGATCGTGAATACAGAACATCATGGTTAATACTGTGGAGTTTATAATGAAAACGTTTACATCATAACATTTAAACATTGGAAAGTAACAGTTGAACTGATATATCTGTGATTAATAATTTTAACTTTTGTAACTATATTCACAATAAGTATTGTTTATGTTACAATAAAAGACATATTACTGTTTTTGGCACAGATCTGTGTTCTGTATCATGCGAAAGTCGAGGATTTTAGCAACAATATTAGTCTTGTGAAAGAGAAATACTTATTAGTAAATTTTATTTATTTCCACAATGAACAAATAGATTAGTGATAGCTAGAATCAAATTGAAATGAATCGCTATAATGGCACGAGAACTTTTGTTATTCCTTTTGGTTAAGATTAAAGCACGATTATCTTTTAAAAATGATATCCATTATTACGAAAACAGAATCAATTACAGTAAAATTTAATGTTTTAGTTATTCTTCATCTTAAAACATTCGAAAGAAAGCTGAACCATTTTCGATAAAGCATTGTTTCGAACTTCAAAAACTAATTTGCTCTCACCAAAGTTATCCCATGGATTACTAAAAATTTCTTAGAACGTAATCAATTGCTACAGAAGATACATTTTTCGAATAATAATATTATCATTGACGAAGGAACTATCTCAAGTGATTCAGAGATTTATTACTGATACTTTGTCTATACGGAAGACCCTATGAAACTAGAAACAACCTAAAAGAACAAGGGCTAATAGATCTTTCTTCTCGAGGTAGGGCTATTTTACTAGATTTACTATCTTCGGTTCATGAGAAGTTGAAAAATTAAATAACAGAGTTTGATCTGAAACTTTGCTCATACCATGTTCTGGTGATTCATGTAACAACCTAAGTATCTCAACTGCTACGAACGCTTCTTTGTCAAAATAATGACTTTGTCAAGAGTAGTGGATTTTTGTATAATGTGACAGCATGCAAGGGTTTTCTTGCATGGTTAATATTATGAGACAAGCATGAATAGAGGCTACAACATTTAGATTGTTATATCGAGCCTCTGTAATTTGGTTTTTCGGCTCGTCTCTTACTATGAATGGTAAATCTAGCAAAAGGGTTCTAACTCGTGAAGAAGGGTCGATGAATCTTTATCTTTTCAGGTCGTTTCTATTCTTAATGAATTCTACTTGTGGGGAACATAGTGGAGCTAAAACTCCGCGTCAATCGAGGCAGTTCTCACATGAGTGCAACATACGTGAATATCAAATACATTGAGTCCTTTCTATGTAAAACTTCGATCAAACACATCTAATGATAAAATATTCGTTCGTTCAAATAGTCTGCTCAAATCTATTCAGGAAAATTGCATACCTCGAACCTTCATTCCTTGTGGAGATTTATCAATTCCTCCAACAAGTAAAAGAAGTAATGCTTTTTTAATATCTTCATGTCCATAAATTTCTGGTGCTATGCTCATGGCCAAACGATCATATAAATCTTTTTCTATTTGTTAAGAAAAAATAAAAATCCTAATTAAATATATTTTAAATAAAACAAACCAGCAAATAAATCAGCTAATTCAGCTTCATTCATTTCGCTATCTTCTATTTCTTCGTCTTCAGTTTTATTCAATAACACAATTCTCTACAAAGAATAATAGCCAAGATTGAATTACTAAGTCACACTTTATAGAATTCGCTTACATGTGCTTCAAGAAATATATCTGATAAAAGACCTTGTGTCATTTGACGAAAACCAGTTCGAAGCAAAGGTAAAAATATTCCACTAACAGCAATATGATCACCTGGTTGACATAAACGTGTATTTGTTCCTCGACACCATATGGTCATTGAACGTGGAATATTACCAACAGGTACCTGATCTGTCTAAACAAAATCTTTATAATTCATGATGTGAAGGTTTTGACATAAAATATTTGCTCATGTTTTCACCATTAAAAGACAATTAGTTAGATCCAGAAGAAATTAGTTAGAATCAGATTTTTTCTCGCTCTTTCCGATTATGTATTCAGAGTTTGCTTCTGAGATGAAACTGAACAACCTTCAGTTAAACTTTGTGATAAAATCCAAAACTGTATCTGTTTAAAACAAAATAATAGTTTTGGCACCATTCTTACTTTGTATCTTGAAACAGCTTCAATTTCACATTGTTTTAGAATACTGAACTCTGTGCAAAATGAGACACAACAATAAACAAAATTTGATCCATGTGTTTCCAGTAAGAGTTAATTTCTTTAAAAATCAACATCGATAAAAACATCGCTCTTTCAAAAACTACTTTTAAAATTGAAAAGTCTTAAAATTTGTCATGCCAAAGTAAATAACACGATTCGCACAGCAATCATAATTCTACAAAATTGTCGAGATAAAATATTCATCATGTAGACTCAAATGAGTCTTGAATATTCTAAAAAATATTCGATCTCTATATCTTAGAATAGGAACAACGACAAGATCTGAAGCATTTACAATAAACTAATCTCATTTAAGTCAGTCTCTATACTAAGTTCGAAGTCGAAATTTGAAAAGCAAAATTCATTTGTGTCTACATGATACATATATAGTCTCGACTGAAAACCGATTAATCAATTCGGAGACTTACCATGCGAATCATTAAAACTTGTTTCGCATTTTAACTTTGATAGATTTCAATCGTAATCGAAATTTGACCAAAAGTAGTATTCTGTACAATCACAATTTTGGATCTTTTGATGATAGTTGTTCAATCTTATCTTAGAAGAAAATTCTGAAGACATACTCAGAAAAAGTTTAAAAGTTTGATTCCAACTAACTGCTTCTAGCTCTAACATTTTACTTTTAAATGGCCGAATAATAAGTGAATATGTTATGCAAAGCATCAATTAAATAGAAAGAAAA